CGTGTTTAATAACTAAAATATTTTTTTATTTAAGTAGGCACATCTACAGACCAGACCATACGATTCACTTTCACGATGAAACTGTAATATAGTAACGATCTAAATGTAACGACACTTTCTCTAGATGACTATCTAACTATTTAAAAGCGGTAAAATATTCTTTTAATGATCACCCTAAATGTACTTTATTAGACAAGAGAAACAGAGTTTCGTTTTGGAAAACTTCGTTTTTAAATTACATATATTAAAAATTGTATATACGTTTTATTTTATTACCTTTGAAAACTTTTTTTTTACATTTAAATTAATTGAATGTAAACAAGATCTACTTTACGATGTAAAAATACTTGCCTCATTACATGTTGATATATGAGTGGGGGAAATACTGTCGAAATTACAAAGATACAAAATTTTAACTAAGTACGTACGTAATATTAAAGCGTCTTTCATTTGATACTGCTATTTTAAATAGTTTTATAGCTGTAACTGACCGAAAGGTCGTAGTATTATTTCGTTTGAATTATTAGAACAACTGCTGGGAGCATAATATTATATTATTATTATAGCAGTTACAAAATCTATTTAATATTGTCATTTGACTAAGTTTAACGATACGGTGCAGTATTGCTGTTTTGAAATATTGATAATCGAATTGTATCGAATAACTTATTCCTCGCCTGCAGCGAAGTACATACATTAAAAGTCTTTTCAATGCAGTTAATAGCATCCCTAATGTGCTTATTAGACTAGCCGTCCATTTTATTTACGAAAAATAAAATAATTACACAGTAATATTCAGAGTTAATGATCTTCCTGATATATTTATTACTTTAATGTCCATGCACGTACGAGAGCAAAGACGACATTATATATTAATACGAACATATTTTTTTCGATAAATATTCATGAGCGATAGAGGCATTGCGATACATTACAAGGGCTATAAGTCAACGAAACGCAGCACGGGCTGGCACTGGCGCCGCTTGGAGCGCATGCGTCGTATAAGTTCGCCGCTCGCTCTATATCATTCACGGATACGTTTCGTCTCGTCTAGCGACATGTCGACACAGTGCGACTTCATATTTTTATGACGTTTTTACTCGTTTACACTGTCCACACATAGTTATAACTGTCATAATTATGAAATTATTGTTTTAGCGTTCTATTCGTTGTTAATGTGATTATGGCGGTAGAGTATTTAAAATGTGTTTTTATTACCCACTCAAACTATTATTATTGTATGGGGTTTTATTTCTGTTCTAAGTTCAGTTTTTTAAATTATTTTTAAATGTGTTGTCGAGTTTTATGTCGATAAAAGTACACATCTATGTTATCCAGTATAAACTTCTCGTATAACCATTCTGAATATCACGTAAGCCTGTTGAGCAGTTATATTGCGAAGGAGAAACAAACAGTCACAAAATTATTTTTAACAGACTTTTGAAATATGTACGATTAGCTCTGGATTTACGTATATCTTAACAACTTATTATACCTACTGATATTTTCAGGTTCCAGTCAGATATAAATAGCTGTCACTCGGGTCCGATGATCCGATCTACAGTACTTCCGGAGTATATTTAGTATTTACCTTAATACCTTAATCTATATCTTGTAATAAAATTAGTTGATATTGATGTAAGCATACATACATCTGATCGTTTTTAATAAACGTGAGAGTAAGTTCCAAAGTATTTTTTAATATATTATAAAATTTTTGGCACTTTCAAATTATTTAAAATGCTTTAATTGAGTTTTCTTTATTACTAGAGTACCGTGAAGTAGACTTTCTACCCACACGTACTCATTTGTTACGCTTGCACCTCTGCATAGCTACCGTGAGTCAAGCTAGTGGATCTGCCGCCAGAGGATTTATTACTTTTGGATGGTTAAATCCAGCTAATGATATATATGTATATACATGATTTATACGATTAAGACAATTATTGAATTAAGCCGAGAAGCGGAGCAGTCGGATCGGATATCGATCGTGATAAAGCAATAAAAGCTACAGTGCGAGGCTGCCGCGTGCATAATTTGTTGAGAAATTTTAGTGTAGTTACTCTTGAAATTATTGTTAAAAATTAAACACATCTTATAATTTCATTCATATGTAACTTTTGTTTAAGTAAATATTCTTCATTTTGTGGACATTCTTTTTATTCATAATGGCTATTGACTAAGTTTTAATGGGCTTAGTTTTAACGTCTTGAAAGCCAATTTCATCTTTTTAACATTGCTACACAGTGCATACTTTTTATTTCACTATTTTAATTATGTGTATTTAGTAAATAAAAGTTAAAATTATTCTATCAAAATCGCTTATAGTTTCTGAAAATTTCGCAGCAAATCTTAATAAAACTCGAGTCGTAAACTCGAGATAAGAGAGATATTTTTTAAATATTTCTTTTGTTTTTAATAATATTAAAAACAATAAAATTTAATTTACAGTATTAAAATTAGCCTTTCCAATAAAAAAATAATTCTCTGATATTATATTTGGCATACATATGTCGTACTCGTACATATATACCTTGAATGGAGAAGCTCATTCTTTTTAAAGTCGGCTGAAAATGTAAATATGTTTTGATCTATTTATTTTATATTACCTATATATTAAATTGCCACATGCATGAATGAGCATCACTTGAGAACGACGAACGGCTCGATGGATTTAGCTGATTTATTTTTCGTTGTGTTCGTAATTGTCAGGACAAGTTTTGTATGGAAGACTTTTGGATGAAAATCTGAATACCTTTAGCAGAATGTGACGTTCAGTTTGACAGTTCTGCAGCCAATTGTTTTAAGAGGAAAAATACAAATAAAAATGTAAAGACATTATCTCTCTGTGGTTTTAATAGAATTACTAGTGTTGCCCCCAGCTTCACCCGTGCTTAAGCTACAAAAAAACCTTTTCGACAAATATATTAGAATTTATTTTGTTGGTCAATACAATTTTCTATTTAAATTTTTTGTCTGATCATTGAAAATTGGGTATGTGTGACACTAGCTGGAAATTATGGTTTTATATATGTAACTTATTTAAACAAGGAGGAGAAGAGGAGAGACTATAAATTTCGAGTGTAGATAACATTGTGTCTTTAAAAATAATGTAAATATTAGGCTGTGGGTATGCTGTTTAAAAAGCCCATATTAGCCAAATTATATGATTCTAAAGTCGTAAACATATGTACATACTCAGTGGCGAAGGGTCCATACAAGACGTCTTACCGTACAATTATTTTACTATAATTGTACATAGGTACATTTAATTTTTTAAATGTATAAATATACTTTTTGAAATACATACATAATATATTACATACATAGCTTTATTTCTTTCTGCATTAATACGTATATAAAAATTGTACCTATATTTTTAGAACGGCTTACCTCTGCTATTTCATCCTTCGCTACTGGTAGGTACTTACATAGTATGCGAGTTGTGTCATTGTACCCCTAGAAAATAGAGGTAATGAAGCAAAAAATACTGTATACGAAAATTGCTTTATAAAATATACGCTAAATAGCCTTTGAGATATGGGATATTTTCGACGGCAAAATGAAATTTGTTTTGCATAATATATTTATTCAATAATATGAAACACGAACTTATTTTTGCATCAATAAAGTACGTATTACGAAAATGTAAATATTTTATTGAAGTTTTGGACTAAGATCCCACTGCAAGATTGCTACGATCATAGCGTATTTAATCGAAATCAATTTTTTATATACAATAATAAAAGGGACAATATGTTTTGACCGGGGTGCCTATTCAAATGTGCCCGCTAGTATGTTTAATTAACTAAATAAAAGTTGACTTTTTGGAATAAAAACGATGCATTTGTTATTACAATGAAATAGACTCCACTTCACAGAACTATACGTAGAGATCTTGAAAAATGATAGCTGCAGTTGCGCATTTGGCCGCAACCTCTTCGCGGCCAGGTGTAAGCGGGTCATATTTTGGGACGTTTATACGTTCATCGCGTATGTTCATCATTTATATATCAAATTAAAGCTAATTTTTTTCTGTACCTGATAAACTACGTCTGCCTATGTAAAAGTGGCCGCAAAAGTTGTTGCGAGTCATTAAAAATGTTTTTGTTACATTTATACGTTCATGGCGTATATTCATCATTTATATATCAAATTAAAGCTATTTTTTTCTGTGCATGATAAAATACCCCTCACCTATGTAAAAGTGTCCGCAATAGAAAGAAAAGAAGGAAAGAATATAATATATATCATTTGTCAGACAATAACAACGGTTACCATGGCAACAGACAGTTAATTAACGCGCCAACTCTCTTTCATTTTAATCTTTCTTTGCCATACATATGTAATATTATAAATGTGAAAGTGTGTTTATTTGTTTGTTGGTCCTTCTTTCACGTCGAAACGGAGTGACCGATTGGCGTGATTTTTTGTGTGGAGATAGTTGGAGGACTGGAGAGTAACATAGGCTACTTTTACCGCGGGATATTATGTAATTCCCACGGGAAAGCACTTTATAATACAATAAAAAAAATTATAATCAGAATTACTTGAAACTTGGTATTAGTGCTCTTTAATAAAATTAAATAAATACGTGTTTTAGCATTTATCAAAATTCGTCGTATAAGGGGGTAAAATAGGCGATTAAAGTTTGTATGAAACTACATTTTTAGAGATTTTTTGCAATTTTAGCGCAAGCGAAGCCACGGTTTCTGCTAGTAATTTATAAATATTTTCGTTTCAAATCATTTCAGCCATTAAATTATTAGGTCGATAAAAGAGAGTTTCTTTCTTTTTTGCTAGTTTGACGCTAACGAAGTTCCAGGTAATGCTAGTTTATAATAAATATTAAATTACCTTCTTTATTGTATTTTTGACCATAAATTTTCGGTGCAACCGGTGTTTGATTACGTATTACAGAATAAATGTCGCTTATCGTATTCCCTTTCAAGTTTTATAAGTATTATAACATTTTAATGACGTCTCTAATAAAATTGATGATGATGTTCTCCCGACCGATTCCGGCCACGGCGGCCAATCTCATTGAGACTAGCCAACTGCGCAGGAGATATTATAGTGCACAAGTGTACGCGCAGACACAACGTGCACTCTCTATTCCTGTCACTCTCATACTCTGGTGGGACGACTGCTCGACACGACCAGTGAGAGTTAAGGCGCAGGACCGACGGCTTTACGTGCTCTCCGAGGCACGGGGGTGAAACACCGCCAACTTCCCAACTCCGGGCTGTTACTGAGGCTTACTTATACAGAAAGACTCAATAACTAAATTTGGCCCGACCCGGGACTCGAACCCAGGACCTCCGGGTGTGCAGCCGTACATGCTAGCCACTACACCACCGAGGCAGTACTAATAAAATTAAATATATTCTAAAACAAAACCTATGGAGCATCTAATTTCAAAATTTATTACGCGATGACAACTAGTCAATGTTACATGAAGGCTGTTATATAATTATAAATTACATATATTCGTTTACCCTTTGCTTTAACTGTAGTAACTGTTGTAAAAAGTTTATAGAGATCGTGAAATATGGAAAAATAATTTGTTACACACTAAAACAGGATTTAAATTTAAATCTATACAGATTTGGCGTGTCTATTTGTAATGTCAAAATAACAGCGTTTTACTAAATGCATATAAAATTATATACAGTACTTATAAGAAAAACACATTTTTAAAAATTTTTGTTTATCTGTCTGTGTGTTCCGAATAATCTCTGAAATGGCTGGACTGATTTTGATGGGATTCCTCCTTCCTTTCACTGGAAGATGTTATAGGGAGTAACATAGGCTACTTTTATTTTGGAAAAAAAATTAGGTTTCCGCTCAAAAAAATTAAAACGAAACTAGGGACGAACCCGAGCGAAGCGAGGGTGAGTCGCTAGTAATAAATATATAAACATTATATCAGAGTCCTTAAGCTGTAAACTTAAATAATTGCGTAAATATACATATATACTAAAAAGCTCCGTAGGTATTAGATATTTTTTATGACTTCAATAAAACCCATAGTAGTTATCTACACTATATTATAAAGAGAGCTTTATAAGTTGGTAGGTTTGTACATAATATATAAGTGGAAATCTTTGAAACTACTGATCCAATTCTGAAAGTTCTTTTACTAATAGGAAGTGATATTACCACCGAGTGCTGTAGCCTATTTTTTATTCTGATAATTCTTATCAGATTAAAAAAAACTTTACTCTTGGCCATCATAATAACTATAATAGGGATGTTAACACTAATCACAAATTAATGTTTAATGTTAATTTTATGATAGTTTGTATTATTAGAATATCGAAAATTACATTTTTATAATTTAATATAACTTAATAGATTTATTAAAAATGATTTTAAATGCTATATTTATAATCTGTTGTCACGTAACTGCAAACACCAATATGAACTTATTACGTCACTAACCACAAAACAAGCTGTCAAAGACTGATTACTTCTCTGCGTTTTCTAATAGGTACAGTTTGCGATCTTAGCAAGGAATTAATTTGTGAAGTACTTAATATTAATACTACGATGGAATCTGGATTCATTAAAGGGAATAGTTCCAACTTACCAAATATAGATTCTTTGATGGTGGCAAACTTTTTTGCAAGAAACAAAGACAATGATTAAAAAAAACACAAAAGAGAAAATTCAGGAACGTGAAAACATCTTCGTAAGTACAGTTTTACGTTTAATACTATTTATCTATTTTGATTGTTTATATTCAAGTAAAAATAAGAAAACACATAAACGGGACATACAGCCATGAATCGCGACCAATGTTTTGCGGCTAGTGACGTCATGTCAGTCAGGTGACAGTTGTTAGAATGTTTTAGCGGGAAAATTCAAATTTACTCTATTTTTGTATATTTTCTCATCGAAAATGCTAATATTTTTAGTTAAAATATTTTTTATGATAAACATAAGTCCATCTTTAAAATAAAAGCTAATCCGAAAAATTGTTAACATCACCATTAAGATTGGAAAAAAATGTGTGTTGAATTATACTTTATCGATTAGGTATTGTTAGGCACCTAGGGACGTATCCGAGCGAAGCCAGAATAAGTCGCTTGTATGTGTTTCATTACAGACGTATTTCTTTTTCTTCTAAGAGAACCGTTAATTTGGTTATGATAATAATTAAGTTCATCTTCATGATAAATATAAGTTCAGTTCTTGGATATAACACGAATAACCCATGTGACGTACGTTGGACTCATGAATATTTAATATTTACAAATTATTAATCCAACACTTATCCCCATCGCCGTGGTCACATTCCTCTAGTTTGATAGGAGCCATCGGCGTGAAGTATACATTCGGCTATATTGATATTATCGTCATACCTTTTTGAAGGCTTTATGAAGATTAGGAAAGTGCTCCCAAATTATTTTCACTAAACATCTAGCTCTTATTAGATTTTTATGGAAGTCACATCGTATAAATTAAAGTAATCTTATATGTCATTAAAGTTGGAAATTATTTGAAGACTTACAAAAGTTAGATACCTATTGTTTGTCGTAGATATTTTTTTAAAGTATAACTTTAGTAAGTAATTCTTATAGACAAAAAACTTTTATAGTCATGTTATATTGCTGCGCTCAGGAAAACGCATGTATTAGCAAGAAATTGCGGTAAATTTATTTTACAATTATAAGAAAACGATATCGCGCGAAAACATAAAAAAGAGAAAATGACCCGTAATCATTGTGCGGTTAATCTAAAGACCCTCATTTACATATTGACGCCGAGAATATTTCTATAATGAACTCAGTCACGCGTACATAAAATTTAAATATATAAGCAGCTACTGTATTAAAATATTGATAACACATATTTTGAGACGTCTTTAATTGCTACTAATAATTCAATCCTATGCATTTCAGATAAGTTAAGTCGTTCGGACGGACGAGGCACTTTAAAAGGGTATGACTTAATTGCCGCTTCTTATGGAGGCAAATAAATCCGACGCGGAATGTTTACGACGCTGTCAGCACGTGCGCCACTTATTAATTATGCTCCGCTGGCAATTATCCAAACTAAAACATTTTCCATTTTTTCATAAATTATTTTACAACTATTATTGCATGTGCATGAGTGCATTATATTACCATAAATGGTGAGACTTGTAACGAGATGACTTACATACTTGTTTATACAAAAACATAATATACTTCTTACATATATGTAAGTACATACATTACATCTTATTCGTTTTTGTCTTAATAAGGGTATCAATAAGCTCACGTTGTAAACAATAGCAGATCAGCATTTGACGCGTTATGTTAAAATAGTTCTTTGTGTCGATTCTGACGTAAAATGGTGCTTTGATTGGCGGCGAGCGGGTCGTTTGACTGGAGGAGATACGCATGTGAAGCCGATCCGGCTTGACGGTCTGATTGTTCCATCGACTTAACATATCAATTATGTTGAACACAAAGACAGATAAGAAATTGAGCGACGTGAATAAAATAATTAACTGATTGGTGTTTGTATAATTCATCAAGTGGTCGGACGTTGCGAGCGCCCGGCCACTTAGTGCCATGTTATCAGATAGCTTACTGTTGAACCTTACAATGATGTTGTAAATGCACTTCGCCACTCGCGTTGTCTTTGACGCTTATCTGTTTACATTGGGATCATTATAGACTTTTCAGATAATATAAAGTTTATGAGCTGGTACTCCGTGGTAACTGTAGCGGTTCCTTTAGTTGTTGCGCCTTTGAATTTAACAAATATTTATGTTCAATATTTTACATTTAAAACAATGAAATAAATGTTCAGGTATATAGAATAAAATAATTACCTGTTCACTGATCATCCTTTAAAATAAGGATATTTGTACAACTCGACCGACTTTGAAAAAAGTCGATAAGCTAATAGGGACTAAACCAACAATAAAACAACCCAAAATTTCATTTTTTTAGGTAGGTAAAGGTTTACCTTTACCTACGTAAAAAAATGAAGAGCTAGAAGCTTTAGCTTCTGATTATCACTTGTTCAGATCTATGACGTCAAGAAACAGCAAAAGTCCATGAACGTTAATGGAGACTAATACTTATTTATCTAATTAACTTGTATAGTTTCAATGTAGTTAAAGAAAAGCTGCTATAAATAAAACATTGTTTGCATTTTAATGAATATTTTAAGTTGTATATTGCTTTTATTTTTATTAGATATATAATATGTTATACTTTTCCATTTTCGACGCAGATTTTATTACTATAAAATCGGTTTAAATATAAATTGTTCTATTAATAGATTGTGGCCAGTTAAAACAGTGTGCTATGAATAAGAAGGCCTATATGTCCCCGCGGCGCTCTGCGATACTAGCACCATCATTTATGTCCACTGACGGAAATTAAAGAGAGAGGAATAAAAATGTCCCGGCTAATGACGGGCACAGACCTCTCGCAGCGAATGTGTAATAATTCGCCTCGGGGACACGTAGCATTCGGTCTGTTCTCTTACGTTCTTTAGAAATACGATTGATTGTTTATTATGAAGATAATATTTTAGGATATTTTTGATTAGGTATCAGATTATATAGTATAGATATCAGATTTAAAAAAATATAAAATATAACATAATATAACTTCTATATTATATGTTTGAGAGAATAAAGTAAAATTATTTAGTAAAACGTAGGTATTTATACCTCCTATATATTTTAAATAATTATTTTCTTGGTTCTTACAACATTAAAAAATGCCTACTTAATTCATTATAGTTACACTGTTAGATCATAAAAGAGCGGACCAAAAGTTTCGATCCGCCTAAATAATTTTAATTACATGTTATTGATAAATTTACTCTCCTGGAGCGCTTTGATATGTCGATAACGCTGCGCAATTAGGCGGTGACCTTTGACTGCAAGATTTATTGTGGGAACTGGAAAACTGACATCCGCCTCCAGATTTGGGCTAACAAATTTTTTTTGAACCGACTGGCGATCAACATAATAGATTCATAAATATCATACGGATAATATAATAAATATACTTTAAGAAATCGACAAATATTAAATATAAGACAAAATAAGGAAATCTGAGTGTACATAAAAAGTTAATAATATTCTAATAATATGCAGTAACGAGTGTGGGAAAGAGATAATAACACTCGTATGTAACACGTAATAACTGCAATGAATAAAATTATTGGACCAAATAAAAGCAACTAGTTAAGATCCAATAAC